TAGCAGGGCTGAAAATAAATAAAGATAAAACAAAGATTTTAACAAAGAACATTTTAGCAAGACGAAAGAAAGAATTGGAGGAAGTTTTGGGGATCCAGGTCACAAATAAGGTTAAGTATTTAGGGATACACATAACACCAAAATGTAGCACACTTAAGGAGGACAATTATCTTAAACTCAAACAACAGATTGCGACAGACTTGATAAAATGGGAAAATTTACAATTATCATTGATTGGGAGAATATCTACAATTAAGATGAATGTATTGCCTAGAATCTTATACTTATTCCAGACAATATCAATCAGACTAGGAAAAGAATTTTTTGAAGATTTAAACAAAATAGTGCTAAAATACATTTGGCAGGGGAAGAAAGCAACAATAAAACTTAAAATGCTACAAGATGCAAGAATAAGAGGAGGATTTGCTTTGCCCAATTGAGAATTATATTACCAGGCGATGAGTTTGATGTGGGTAAAGGAGTGGATATCAATAAAGAATACTAGACTTTTGAATTTAGAAGGACATGACTTGCTGTTAGGGTGGCATGCCTTCCTCTCATATAAGGGAACTAAACTGCAGGGATATTTTAGAAGACATTATATTCGAGAAGCATTGTTTCTAAACTGGGAGAAGATTTTAAAAAGCAATATTATTTAAAAATCCCACTATGGTAATCTACTATTGAAGCTTTTTCCTATCGAATAATATATAAAAAGGAACAAACTGTTAGATATGGTGAGATATTGAATGAAAAGGGTAAACTTAAATCTATGCAAGCGTTGGAAGAACAAGGTGTAAAAATGAATTGGTTTTCATATTTGCAAATACAATCTAGATTTGATAAAGATGCTAAAACAGAAAGTATCTATGATAAGTTGACTGACTTAGATAAAATTTTGACAGGTACTGATGAAAAAGTAATTAAAAAACTTTATGGACATTTGTTGGAGTTTAAATTAGAGGAAGAACAAGTAAAAGAAACAATGATTGCATGGGAGAAAAATTCTGGATATGGGATTGACATAGATAAATGTCAAAAATTGTGGTCTCAAAATTATAAAATGACAATGTCAACTGCATATAAAGAAAATTTGTATAAGATGTTTTCCAGGTGGCCCTTACCCCTGATGAGAATTGCAAGGATGTTCAAGAAAAAATCGGATAAATGTTGGAAATGTCATACGATAGTTGGCTCAAATTACCATATGTGGTGGACATGCTCGGATGCAAAAAGATATTGGACTATAATCCACACACAGTTGGAAAAAATGATAAAATAACACATAGACTTCAAACCTGAGATATTCTTATTGGGAATGATACCGGAAATATACAGTAAAGAATTGAAATGTTTGATTGTAAATGTTTTAACAGCAGCTACAATTGTATTTGCTAAGAACTGGAAAAATGAAAAATACCTATGCAGGAGGAAATTATTAAGAAAATCATGGACTGTGCCGAAATGAGTCAATTGACATTTGAAATTAGAGAACAAGAAGATAAACAATTTTATATGATATGGGATTTATTTTATCAATGGTTAGATAAAAAGACATGACAAAGAAATAGATTAGCAAGCTTTATAATAAAAGTTAATAGATTGATATATAATACAATATAAAATATATAACCATTGGATAAATAAGATTGAACTATAATGAAATTTAGAATATCTCATATAGAATGATGGAAAAATAGTTTAGTCAAATGAATGATTAATAATTGTTATTACATAAGCACAAGTTAGATTGATAAGGTGAGAATTTATATAGCTTGTGAGTAATGGTAAAAAAAAAAGGATAGCACAAAAGATTGTAACCAACTGACACACTGTATGTATATAATTGGAAAAGGGTTTTATGTTTTTGTTTTGTCTGTATGTTTGTTGTAAAAAATAAAAACTTTAAAAAAACCAATTGCAATTATTTTTAATTATTTTTATTAAAGTTGTATCCTATAATTTGCCTTTATTTTATATGCAGCACCCTTGGTTACCAGTAGTGCTCAACTTACAGTCGTTGTTTCACTATGGTTCAAAATTAAAGGGAAAAAATTACTTATAATTGTCCCACTGCCCCAATGATTTATGATCACAATATGGTCACAATTTGGGCATTTGGCAATTTGGCTTGCCTTTAAGATCAGCTGATAACAGATAATCAGAATTGAAAGGGATCTTATAGGTCATCTAGTCCAACCCCCCCACCCAAATGGCAAATGGCAAATGGCAGTCCAATCTCTCCTTGAAGGTCTCAAGTGATGGTGCTCCCACAACTTCCGAGGACAAGCTGTTCCATTGGTTGATTGTTCTCACTGTCAGAAAGTTTCTCCTTATTTCCAGGTTAAATCTCTCCTTGTTCAGTTTCCGTCCATTATTCCTTGTCTGGCCTACAGGCGCTTTAGAAAATAGCTTGACCCCCTTCCTCTCTATGGAAGCCCCTCAAATATTAGAAGACTGCTATCATGTCTCCCCGGCCCTTCTTTTTACTAGACTAACCATGCCCAGTTCCTGTAGTCATTTGATTCCAGTTTGCAACTTTTGCCAATTTATAGCAAAAACCACCCATTGGGGAAATTGGATTCACTTAATGACTGTGTGATTTGCTTAACAACTACAATGATTTGCTTAACAACAACCATAAAAATGACACAAAATAGGCTCTGACATGATTTGCAACCACAATAACTCACTTATGGCCAAAATTCCAGCCTCAGTGGGCATAACTCAAGGACTACCTATATCCTCACCTAACTAATAAGTGGATGAACAAAGAAATAAAGGAAGGAAGTAAATGACTCACCTTTTGGATCTCTTTGGAAAGCAGATGTCTTATATATTCTACAGAACCCAAATGTGTGTTTACCCGAACGCTGGTAAAAGCTGGTGGATGTGCTAGGTTAGTTAACAAGGACTCATATTTCTCTTCTGCTTTCAATGAACCAATAAATGTTGTAATCTTAAAATAAAAGTATATAAAGAAATAATAATAATCAATAATAACAACAGCATTTTATGGTAAATTACAGTAGTTTAGGTTTGTAAGTTATTTTAATTTATAAATCTTTAACTTATAAATTTAAATAAGCAAGTTAACTTATTTATAAATTAAACAAGATTTGGAAACAAGTTAAAATAAATTTCTTGAGATAAAGACAGGATTTATAAAGTACAATTTTCTTCTGGAAGTTCACTTGATGTTTTGCATCATGACAGAATAGTTTTATTGTTAATTGTTGCTAGGTACAGATAATATTCATTTTAATTAACAATTCTAGTATTACTTAATGCTAACTACTACAGAGCTGGCTTTGATGGGAGTGTGTGGGCAAAAGAATTGGAAATATTTTTCTTTTAAATATATTTAATTAAATAAATCCAGTTGTACACATGTAAAGATATCATGAAAGTAATAGTGAAATCTGCCATATGCTTGCTAAGTTAAATCATAAAGTATGGGTAATCCTTGACTGATGAACACAATTTAGTCCAAAAATTATGTTGCTAAGTGAAACATTTAAGTGACTTTTGTTCCATTTTCTGACTTTTCTTTCCATTGTTATTAAATGAATCATTACAATTGTTAAGTTATAACATGGTTGTTAAGTGAAGCTGGTGTCCCCATTGACCTTGCTTGTCGGAAAGTTGCAAAAACTGATCATAAGGCATTGCAATAAACATAAATATGAATCAATTATCAACCACCCGAATTTTGGTCATGTGACCATGGGGGATGCTTCAGTGGTTGGTCATGAGTGTTTAAAAATGGTCATAAGTCACTTTTTTCAGTGCCAATGTAACTTTGAACAGTTACTAAATGAACTGTCACAAGTCAAGGACTACCTATAATATTATTGTTTAATAAACATCTTCAGTATCAATATATTTTATCTAAAAATATAAATAGCTTGAAGAAAAAGGTACCTCATTATATTTTGACAAATAAAATTTTATTTCCCAGTTTTGTATCTGGCATTAAATATTGTCTTAATTTTTCGGACATTTTCTTCCTTAGATTAGCCTTGGGTATTCTTCCACATCCACCTCATTTACCATATACGCAATAGTAATTCTATATATTTATTCCGAATAATTAGATTTCACTTTGTAACAAGATCAAGTCAGCTTAAATAATACATTAAAATAAAATCACTATTATTTAAAATGGGTAGTGTGACATATATTAATTCTAGAAGCAACATCACTATACTCAGAGATACCGTCCATGTTTAGAATAGAATAGAACAGAACAGAATAGAATTCTTCATTGGCCAAGTGTGATTGGACACACAAGGAATTTGTCTTGGTGCATGTGCTCTCAGTGTACATAAAAGAAAAGATACATTCATCAAGAATCATAAGGTACAACACTTAATAATAGTTAAGTGGATACAATAAGCAATCAAATTATAATAGGAAACAGTCAATATAAATTGTAACGATACAACAACAAAGTTACAGTCATGCGGTCACAAGTGGGAGGGGATGAGCAATAAGGAGTGATGAGAAGATTAATAGTAGTGGTAGTGCAGACTTTGTAATTAGTTGGACAGTGTTGAGGGAATTATTTGTTTAGTAGAGTGATGGCATTTGGGAAAAAACTTTCCTTGTGTCTAGTTATTCTGGTGTGCAGTGCTCTATAACGTCGTTTTGAGGATAGGAGTTGAAACAGTTTGTATCCGGGATATGAGGTGTATGTAAATATTTTCATAGCCCTCTTTTTGACTCATGCAGTATATAGGTTCTCGATTTAATGATTTATAATACCATCATTTGGACAATATCAATCCTTCCTCCATTATGACATGTTGCCAATGCAATGGCCTGGTAACCCAATAAATCAGTAGCTGTTGATAGCCCTGAAGAATGCAGTAATTATAAAAAATTGTAATAGAAAACAACACTGTGTCAGTAGAATATGAGCTAGTATTATAAATTAAGTTCCACAGGACAGCATTCGGATAACTGCAACCTAATTTTGCTTGGTGCATTGTATTTTAATCAACCAGAGTAGTACTTACCTCAGCATTTTTAAATGTAGCCCTGAGATATTCCTCAACCTCTGGTTTCAGTAAGATTTTACAGAAAATAGACATAGCTCCAGTCTATTTTCTTTTTTTCTCAGGGAAACATCTGTAATAAGCAATGTATTATTTCATCAGATATGTGCATGTAATAAGCTTAAAACAAAATCGGATGTTAATAAATTTTTCACACAAATAAATATGGTTATATCAGGAGACCTATTGAAGAAATGTAATGTCTTCCTATCAGTAATGTTCTTTCATCAATAAGTCTTGTTTTACATATATGAAACCAGTATATAGCTGTATGATTATAATTTAGCGTGCTGCAAATATCTATCGTATTTTTAACCATGATTTATGGTTTTGCATATTGTGTAGATTTATCCAGTGATGCTTATTCAATAAACCATGATTAAACTCAATATGAATTGAATTGAATAATTAATATTCAACCAAAGAATGATGAAACACTTTAAAATTTAATCAACTTTTATTTCATATTACATCCTGATGATTACATATGATATAGGATGGTATCACACTATTTACAGAGTAACATAATAATCTACTATTAAATTAATTCCATTTATATTTTGATTTCCTACCCAAAGACACTCAAAATAATATTACAATTTATTTGATATGCCTAGAAGCATGTTGGACTCAATGGAATGTCTTCATTTTTATTTAATCATTTATTTTATATCCTGCCTTTTATTCAAACAATCCCAGAAGACAGAATTTACTGCTAACTGGTAAAATTAAGACTAACCAATAACATTAGTTCTTCTGGATAGAAAGTTTGAAAAGAAATATATGATGAACCAAAACCCCAACCCTATTTCCCCAAATCATTTGTTACTAAACTGCAGATTTACTTGCTTTTTATTTCTGAAAATGACAACTGAAATCACATAGCATGAAATTAGGTGTGGAATGGACAATTGCAGTTGTAGTTGTAGTTTTACGGTTAACTATTGCTCAAAAAAAAGGGGGGGGGTATGAATGCCCTGGGTGCTTGAAAGAGGACTCTTCTTACAGTGTTTAAAAATAATGCCTAATATCCATGCGCTTTCAGGTGTTCAAAGAGCTTTACATGCAGTATTTGGTTATGAACTCTGCAGAAAAAAGAAACCTTTCCAATTATATCTCAATGTTTTCATTCATTTGTATCCCACATTTTTACAAATAACTCAGGGCAGTGAACATATCCAACAGACCTTCCTCCTCCTATTTTCCCCACAACAAACCTATAAAGTCCCAAAGGTGCTTTTTTCAAAAGGCAACTGGATATATTTTTTTTGAAAATGTTTTGCTTCTCATCCAAGAAGCTTCTTCAGTTAGACACCAACATTACTCAGCTGACTTTCATGGCTAAGGCAGAGTAGAACTCATGGTCTCCAAATTTTAAGCCTGGTTCCTTAACCACTAGACCAAACGGCTCTCCTTTTAGCTTAGAGCAATCAGATATGACCCTCTCTTTCCTCCCCACTCTGTTAACCTTCCAGATTTGTGGATTTCAGTTCCATAATTCTCCAGCCAGCATAATTATTACTCAGTATACAGTACTAGGAGCTCAAGTTCTAGAAGTGGAGTATGAAAAGTTGGGAATTTTGATTGAATATGACAGAAGCTATGTCATAATCAGGTACCGTTTAGACTCTTTACTGCTATATAAGTGACTCTGAATTATAAATAACAAAGGGGACCTGTTCCATCTCTTGAAATGAAATTGAATGATATTTGACTGCATTTCAAGATTTGGTATTTGTCCCTCTTTCAAGAATATGACATGTAGTGTGGCATTGTTCTTTGGTTGGAATATTACAGTAGCTTCCACCAACATGACTATGGATACTACTATACAGTAGCTATTATTGTTGTAGCTTGTACCAACATGACCATGGATAAGTCCAATATACCATATCTCACAGGCAACAGGTTGGGAAAGCAATACAGATAATTGATTTAAAACAATTTGTTAGTGACTATTCAAAGTTATAATGGCACTGAAAAAATAACTTATGCCATTTTTCACACTTACGACATTTACAGCATCCTCTTGGTCATGTGATCAAAATTCAGGCACTTGGCAATTGACTCATATTTATGATGGCTGCAAGATGCTCGGGTCACATGATCAGTTGCTGGAAATGGGCCTCTCCTCTCACATCTGCTGTTGGATAAGGGAATTTCTTACTAACAGACCCCAAACTGTTAGGACTGGCAGCTATTTTTCCTCCACTCTTGCTCTCAGCACAGGCTCTCCACAGGGTTGTGTGCTGAGCCCCCTTTTGTATTTACTCTACACCTATGACTACACTCCCTCTTGTCCCACTAACTCTATAATAAAATTTGCAGACAACACCACGTTGGTGGGACTCATATCAGGAGGAGACGATAGGTCAGAGGTTCTCAGACTGGTCACAACCTCACCCTAAACATCAAAAAGACCAAAGAATTGATTATAGACTTCAGAAGATGCAAAGCAGAGCCTCTTCCACTATATATCAATGGAGATTGTGTGGAAAGAGTTCATAGTTTTAAATTTCTAGGAAGTCATATTTCCAACAAGCTTACTTGGCCAGTCCACACTATGGCCACTGCAAAGAAGGCCCAACAGCGCCTGTACTTTCTGAGGCTGCTGAAAAAGAGTGGTCTGGGTGAGAAGTTGCTGGTTACTTTTTACCGTTCTACCATCGAGAGCATTTTGGCATACTATGTAATGGTGTGGGATGCTGGATGCTCTGTAGTAGATAAGAAGATAAGTTTATAGAATTATAGATAATTATAGAAAAGTTTATAGAATTATAAACACAGCACAAAAAAATCATTGGTTGCAAATGAGAGATTGCAAAGACCAGACTCCTCTCTAGAGCACTAAAACTCTCCAGACCGTTTTCATCCTGGTCATTCATATTTTGAACTGTTACCATCAGAGAGACATTATAGATGTCTTAAAATGAGAATAGACTGAGAGTTTCTTTTCCGAGGCAGTAATTGTCTTGAATCAAACAGTGCATTTGTGATTTATAGTATATAGTGTATATAGTGGCATTTTTTAAACTATTTGACTTACTAAATGTTTTAGATAGGTTTTAGACTAGGTTTTTATTATTATTATTATTGATTATTATTATTATTATTATTATTATTATTGTTATTGTTGTTTACTCTGTAGTGTGACTGTGATGTGGTGTTGGGGGCACTGTGCTGGAGCTTTCAAATTTTATTATATTCATGGAATGCAATGACAATAAGGGTATTCTATTCTATTCTATTCTATTCTATTCTATTCTATTCTATTGTGACTTTCTAACAAGTAGTCAATGGGAAAGCCAGATTCACTTAACAACCTTTTTCTAACTTAACTGCAGTGGTTCACTTAACAACTGTGGCAAGAAAGATCATAAAATGGGGCAAAACTCACTTAACAACTGTTCTGCTTAGCATCAGAAATTTTGGGCTGAATTGTGATCACAAGTTGAGGATTACCTGTAGTACATTATTCACCAGGTTTCTAACTTTTGTCTTTCAAGGGCCTTTTCTGAGTGGCTCTTTGCAGAGGTTAGAGAAGGACTATAAAATATTTTCTTCTCTGTGATGCTCCTTGAAGAGGTGAGAAAGATGAAATGACTGTTCGGCTCTGGGACTGTAGAAAGGGTGGAAGAAACTCAGAATAGCCCCACCTGTTATCCTTAAAAGGAGACAATGAAAATGTTTGACAAAGTGATATTTCCTATAATGATAAGGGAGTATTTCTGGCATGCCTGCAGTGTTTGTTTCTTGATCTGGCCTACTTCAAAGGGTTCACATTCTGATACTGGAACGATCCAAATAGTTCCAGTTCCAATACCAAGTAATGTTTGTCTTATTTCCAGCTGGGTCATTTATAGTGTTAGTTATTTGTGTTTTAATTAAGACTTTTTATTGCCAATTGCTGTTGCTAAATTTTTATTACTTGTTATGTACATATTACACTATAAAACTCAATGGTATAAAAGTTTAACAAACTGTTCAGAATACTACCTTAATTCTGCTTCTATGATCTATTGGGATCCATCTTAATGTTCCATATAGATAACAACATTATAACGTTATACATTATTATACTCCACAGTTTTTATTCAAGGTAATCTGCCTACAGACGAGAGCCTGTCTCTTTTGATCAATAAAGCATACTGACATCTCTTATATGCCCATTTACAGAAATCCATTGCCTTGTCAAAAGAACCTTGTATATTTTGAAGAATCAGACTTAAATAAATAGCTGAGCATCAATAACATGGAAACATGTTTCATGGAAACTATGAAAATATTAAGTTTACTTTAAAAGTTTTATTAGGGGATTTCAAATGCAGAATACAAGGATTCTGTATTTCTATCACTCTGCTTCAAATAAAACATTTCTTCATTTTTCACCAATAGCAGTTCTAGGATGCAGAGTCATTAAGAAGAACCCATGCTTTAATCCAATTCTCCTCTCTTCACTTAGAACCACCTTTCTTCTGTACAGGCTTGCTGACCTTGGCGTCCTCCAGCTTTGCTGACTAAAATCCCCACCCTTCCTAAAATGCTATTTTAAGAGATCATCCACTCTGTGACTAATCCCATTAACAGAGACTGCCAAGACCCATCATCATGAATGCTGAGTTTCCATCCCTATATAATCCATCTGGTCAGGGACGGATGGAGTATTTTGCGAGTTGTATCCAGCCCAATACATTGGAGAAGCCAGTACAGCTGCTTTTCTCCTTTCCGGAGAGCAAGAGTTTGCTCTTCCGAACTAACGCAACACTACAACCGGAAACGTCTCCTAGTTTCGGGAGGGAGGGAAGGTAGGGCGTAAAGAAAAGAGCGGCCATCTTTGAATAGGTTTCAGTGACCAGACCCATCAAGTTCCAATTCAGAAATGTTAACAACCTGGGCGCCCTCTGCTGACGAGCGCCAGACCCCTTTTTTTTTTTCCTTCTAACGCGCCGGAACTACAACTCCCAGAATTCCCAGCTGGGAATTTGGGAAAAGTAGTCGGAGAGCCCGAGCGCGAAGAACACGTTTTCTCTTCCTCACCTCCTCGTTCTTCGATCCTACCTTCTGCTTTCCTTCTTCCGGCCAACCCGCTCGGCCTCATCCGGGGCACCAAAGGAACTCCTACCCTGCTTCGGCCCAGCCCCGCCAGTGTCGCTGTTGCCGCCTCTCTCCTGAGGTGGAGGGAGAGGCGTAGCTGCAACTTGGCATGCGCCGACTGGGCATCAAGCTGCGCTGAGACTCATGAGGCGTTTTGCGAACCTGGAGCCCCCGAAATGCATTAGGATTATGAATTGCAGTGTTCCCAATAGCCAGACGGATGGGGAATTCTGGGAAATTGGGTCTCTGGAGTGCTTCAACTGGAGGAATACCAGCATCTGTTGTTTCTTCTCTGGTTGGATTGACAGCAGGCAAAAGCACAGTGTTAGGATGAACAATCACCAGGCTACAGAACAGTATTCATGTTGTGTGCATTTAAAACGGGTCTTCAAACTTGACAGCTTTAAGACTTGTGGAGTTCAACTCCCAGAATTTTTCCTCCAATCATGTTAGCATAGGAATTCTGGGAGTTGAAGTTCACAAGTTTTAAACTTTCCAAGTTTGAAGACCCTTGATTTAAAAAGATTGCTTTTGAAAGAAGAGCCTAACATACCATTTTTATGCACAACTCTCTCATTTGTATGTCTTGTAAATTTTGCAAAAAAAACCAAACCCCTTTCAGCTTGCTGTTTATATTGGAGGTTTGGTTGCTCGGTTGCTGCTAGAAGGAAAGAATCAACTACCAGCAAGTTGACAGCACTTCATTACAATGGTGATGGATGTACCACTGGACCAGATTAGGGACAGATCAACATCTACATAGTATCTACATACTTGTCAGGAGTCAGTAACTTCATCACATCTAATCAATAAATCTGTTGTAGAAGGATGTTTGCCCATAATTTGATGGCATCCTGAATCTGGGCTGCAGAAATCTAGAAGACAGCAAAAGACTGGCAAAAGTTCTTTTCTCCCATCTCGTGGTCCTTTGGATTTTTGCATCCCAGATATATAAGCCTGGCTCTCAGGTTTCTTCAAGTTACCTTCCAGGCAGGTTTTAGGCACCTGGTTCTGCCTTGAGGAATCCGGTTTGACACCCAGTGATCACAATGACATCTCCAGAACATTGAATGTGCATAGGAGCGATGATGGGAAGGTTTGGCTTTCCTGTACTCAACTGTTGAATCAAGCCCATAATTTTTTAGCTTTTTGCAATTAGAGTCTTACATGCATTGGTTAACATAATCAACTTCCTGAAATAGATAAAGTGCTACTCCAGCTCATACATTTTAATTCCTAAAGCAGAGGCCAATATTTCACTTCTCCATTATACTATTATTATGAGAATCAATGTCTACGACTCAGTGGTGGGTGTTATTTGTCATAATAAAGGTTTCTGTTGAAAAAAATGATAACATTTGAATGATGTGTGTGTGGAAGTAGAATACTCTTTCAGATACTAAGGAGCCCTGATGGTTATAATGCAATATTGCAGACAAATTCTGCCCACAGCCTGGAATTCGATCCTAATGGATTCAAGGTTTTATCCTTCTGAGGTCAGTAAAATGGGGACCCCGATTATTGGGGGCAATATACTGACATTGTAAACCTCCCAGAGAGTGCTGTAAAATGTTTGTGGTATATAAGTCAAATTTCTATTGCTAATACTTCCAACTAGTACAGCAGCAGCATACTTTCACAAGAGGTACCGATTCCACCGGTACCATTTTGAGTGACGATTTCCCCCACTATACAGCCTACTGCCTACAGTCTTTCCCCCCAAAAAGGGATCTCCAATTTCACACTTTATATTGTACAATTAAATCTGGCAAACACATATCTCATGTAGAAATGAAGTTGTCCAGGTATTGCTAGTCTTCAAATGTATAAGTCCTTGAACACTTCTAACTCTCATTTGTTGGCCAGGGCAGATAAAAAAAGTTTTAATATCTGAAAGACAACCAGTCACCATAATAAGACTAAAGATTATAAAAATACTGAGTAAATTTTCCTGTTTTTCAAAAACTTGTATGTATATGGAGCAGACATTGGAGTATATAGGAGGAGTCCTTGGTGTTTTCTTATCCCACAGTGATTGATTAAATCTTGATGTACTTTAATTAATCAAATACAATACAGTCAGGCTCTAGATCAATGTGTATATATTCCATCTGAACATTAGTATATCTATAGAAGTGTACATCTAAGGGAAATTCAATTTTAATTGGTTATTTTAAATCACTAGAATTTCAAAACAGAAACAGTTTGTTGATTAGCACCAAAAAAGGTAACAATGACTAATACACCATTAGGTCTGATAAAGTAACCCAGTCATGCTAGTACTTGTATAATGAAAGATATGTATCTTTCGATTTCACAAGAGTTTTTGTTTCTGTAGCAAAACAGTTTCTGTAGGTTATTTGTCAGAGCTAACAAACTAAAACGTCAGTTGGAAACAAATTACAGAAATAGTTCTAAGATTCTATGATAGTTTTAGTTTATGCATTTATCAATTCAAGTCATTAATATTAAAGAATACATTTCCAGTATGGGATTTGAGAAGTTGCAAAGTTTGATAATACCAATCAAATCTAAATTTGATATGGCTGCTACTTTAGGTGTAATCTTTACCTCCATTCATTCTATCCATTTTTAAAAAACGTTTGAATCCAAAAACACTCCTTCAAACCTGGCTATAAAGCACTGTGAAGTGATATACGATATAAGTCTAAGTGCTATTGCTATTAAGTATACTTTCCCTAAACACAAAGAAATATAGAGCATTGATTTGATGGCTCACATGTTTTCTTGCTCTTCTAAATATATTACTTTCATAAAAGTAGATTTTAGATGATAATTAAATAATGGACCAGTACACTATTCTATATATATTCTATATATAATCAGACATACTAAATCTGAACTACTCAAAGTGAATAGAATTTATGAGCATTAAAACATCTTTAAATTTTAAAAATTGAATCTAAAGGTGGGAAGGGAGGTACATTCGTAGACCATGGCTTTGCAAATGTTGTGAACTAAATTCCCAACAGTCACAGCCCACAGGGAAGGAGCCTGCAAAGTGTAGTTTGGCAAAACCAGGCATATTACTTATTCAACAATAGATAGAGATCGCCGAGCCTGTTCCCCACCAAATGTATTTGATTGGGATTCTCATTCAGGATGAAAACCAATGAGTTTAATTCAGTCTTTCTTTAACTTAACAACTTTTAAGATGCGGACTTCCAACTCCCAGCCAGCATATCTTAAAAGTTGCTAAATTTGAGAAACACTGGATAATCTAACACGACTGGAAGGGAATAAATTGAAAGCTGTTTCTACTTTCCATGTTCTGTGATAGCTGATCACTCCCATATATCTTTTGCTTTTATAGAAATCAGATTTTTTTAAAAAGTAGAAAAAACAACTTTTGTTTTTGTTAACTGGAATTTGGGAATCAAATATCTCCCAAATGTATTCTCCTTTTCAAACGAGGAAGAACTCTCCTCCATATGAAATGGTGTTCCCACCCCTCCAGGAATATTAAACAAAGGCGGGGAGAGGGGAAGGACAAAACGTAGCCACCTAAAGCGAGGACAGGGACGACGTTTATAGTCTGGAACTTCCGTCATCCGGCCTCGCTGATCGGAATCAGTATTGAATTTATATTCTAACATTTCCGGTTGTGTATTGAACGCGCGGGGCAATACAAAGAATCATTCTCGCTTGCAACCTTCAGTTGCCCCGCATATGGCGGCACTCAAATGAAAGCTCTTTGAGGGCCAAGAGACTTCCCTGTTTCGCTCTTCGGGGCAACGTCATGGCAAGTCCCGGGGCTTTACCATCTTGCGCGAATCCCAGCGTAGTGACGTCAGCTCTGAGGCAGGAAGGAGGGGCGCAGCTCCGTTTGCTGCCTGTGTGGCTGGAGGGAGGAGGCGGAGGCGGAGCCGAAGCGGTTTCGATCCCGCCTGCTTTTTCGGCCGCGTAGGGTAGGGAATACGGGACGGGGCACTTCGCCAACTCTGTCGGAGATCTTGGCTCCCGTTCCGGGATGGGGCTTCTGTTCGCCAAGCTGTGGAATCTATTCTGTACGCAAGGTGAATGACTAGATCCAGCAGGAAAGCCCGGCAGCAGCGCTGCTCCCCGCGAGGCAGTAGCAAAGGGAGAACCCCGGGGGTAGCCGGGATCCGAATGGGCAGCCTGGGCTTTGGTGGCGGGCATGGTAGCAAAGAAAGGCTTGGGTCTCGCGGGGAAGACCGATCCCGGTAAGAAGCAGCGGGAGGAGACTCGCCTGGGACGGGTTTGTAGCGTAGAAGGCTAAGTAAGATTCGCCTCTGTTGTGGACTTGGGATGGGAGACCACATCCCAGAGCCATTGCCAGATGAGGACGTGGGAGAAAACGATTGACAAATCCCTTGTGTGTTATTGCTGAGATAGCGTTAGTAGGAACACATTCGCGTTGCTGAGTTTGACTGGGGGGCTTCCCCCCCCCGCTTTTTATTGCCTGCGTTTTATCCTGAAAAATGTCATAACTTATTCTATCTCCAGCCACCTGTTCCCTCCTGTGAGTGGCTAGGCTGGAAAAGATCGTTTCAAATCCATTAACAGCTAATCGGTACGCTACTCCTCATTAAACTAGAACACCGTTTCTGAGCAATATTAAGTGTTGTGGACTTCAGTTCCCAGAATTCCCCAGCTAACATGCAAACTGGCTGAGTTCTCAGAGTGAAAGTTCACCAACTGATACTGAACTGAATTCCACACAACTTAAAGTTGTTAAGATTGATAAACACAGATCTAAAGTAATCAAGTATTTGGGACATATGTCATTGATGGTGAGGGTAGATTGAGGTGCTGAATCAAAGCAGAACAGAGATCTGGGCAAAGTTTCTTCTATTGTGTTTCTTGGCTTTTGGCTCCTTGGGGAGAAATTTTACTATATTAAAATGTAAAAATATAAGAACTTTTTCCATCACTCTTCCATTTTTATGTATCTGAAATTAGTCTGGCCGATGTTTAAGAAAATGTACCAGTCTTTTTTTTTTAATCTGTAATGAATGCAAATATTTGTTTATGAAATTTTAAAATTCTATAAAGCAGAGGGCTAAATATCTGTCAAATTACATTGACGGTATACTGTTACAGTAGTGAACCATTTTTAAATGTTGGTAATATCAAATTTGAGAATAAGCTTTTGATCTCTTTAATTCAAACACACACACACACACACACACACACACACACACACAGCCATTCTGCTTAATCAATAGCATGATTAAGAAAACAAACAAATACTTCCCATATGTTTAGTAATTATAACTATATTCAGTAATTTTAAAATTAAATTAAAATAACAATTTTATTTCTTTTCTTATCTCCTTTGGGGTTATGTCCCCCAGAAAGAATTATTTGACCTTTGATTCAAAAAAATTTTATGTTCCTGGGGGAGATTGCCTAAACTGTGTGAAAAAGCTTCAGCCTGGCCATAGATCTGAGAGAGTGGTATAGAAACCATTTTCTCATGCTCAGTTTTATCATCAGAGGAGAGCATTCTTCAGAAGATTCAGTAGAGATACTGATATGAGAAGCTGCTCAAAGATATTAATCAAATACAGTATTGTTTGTGGTGACTTGTGTAATAGCTTCAAGTAGAAGATTGACCTTCTCCTTAGTTAACATGGAGAAATGATATAATTTGATTGTTTTCAGCCTACAGGAAATGGGAATTCTTCTATTTTGATTTAGCTTGGGGATCCATGGTTAAAATCCTTGTTTTATGAGTGAACACATAATTTCAGCTATTATAAAGAATTGAAATGAAAAAGTGAGATAATAACATTGATTTTATGATGCTAGCTCATGGAATATGTATTATGCATTAAGCTGATACGGCTTCATATATATACTGTAGTTGGAAGACTTCTCAATTTAATCATGACTCACAACCTTGATCTGGTGATGTTTCATGAGATGGAATTTCAAGTTCCTGAGCCCTTGTTTTGTATATACTTTTCTCAGTAGTAAATAGATTGGTTTAAATAGTTTAAAAGTTTAAAAGTAATGTATATAGGTAGTCCTCAACTTGTGATCACAATTGAACCAAAGTTTACATTGCTAAGCAAGGCAGTTGTTAAATGAATCACACCCAATTTTATAACCCTTTTCACTAAAGTTATTAAGTGCATCAGTACGTTCTTAAGTGAATCATGCAGTTGTTAAGCAAAAATTGGCTTCCTCCACTGACTCTGCTTGTCAGACTCCATCTAGGAAGATTGTAAATGGTGATCACGTGACCCCCTTGGGTATTGTAGCCATATATGCCAAAATATTTGCCAAGTGCCTGGATTTTGATCACATGATGATGGGGATATTGTGACAGTCATGTGCAAAGAGCAGTTGTAAGTCACTTTTTTCAGGGCTGTTATAATTTTCACTAAACAAATTGTTGTAAATAGAGGACTACACTAAACAAATGGTTGTAAATAGAGGACCACACTAAAATGGTTGTAAATAGAGGAGTTTCCAGTATAGCTATTGATATTTGTAAAACAAATATTAGGAGGCTGTTGGTTGTCTAACAAACACTCTGTGCTTTTCTATATCTGCCCTCCAGACTTTTTTGAAAAAATAATACTTGGGGAAGTGTTTGGCAAGTATGGAAATTAATATAGAAGCAAAATCTCTTTTATCCTGGAAAACACTTGCCTGACATCATTTTAAGTCAGATTTCCAGTCATTCAAACTATAATGAAAGCATTGTATAACATTGAGGCATATAAATGAAATAAGATAGCTGTAGGACATATTAAATTAAAATGTAGCTTACTTGTTAGTGTTAATGAGTTTTTTAACTGCTCATTTCTATGCATTGTAGAACACAAAGTAATAATTGTGGGACTTGACAATGCTGGGAAGACTACAATTCTGTACCAATTGTAAGTATATATTTCTAGCTTTCAATCCATAAAGCTGACAATGTTGCAGTATTTCTGTAAGATTAATACATTTCTGAGAAATAAAACCTGCCCAAAACTGAAAGATATTTTAAATTCCTGAATATCAAATATCTCTGTCTGAGAGTTTGAATGTGTTTTTCAGCATGAGCATACATTTTAAACAAGAACTCGGCTTAGTTCTTCCAGTATCTTAGGTATTTTCTTAATCCTTTTGTATCCGAACTTGATTGATAATCCAGTTTATTACTATTGGTGAAAGAATAATGTCCTATTACTCTTTTAGTTGGTCTGCTTATTTCAAATATGATATACTACTGAATTTTCTTTAGAATATTTCTTTCCTATATTGCAAATTCCTTTATGGCTGATTAGAATTAGTTGTTCTAAAGGATATTGGCAGGTAATTGATATGCTGGCTATCAGCACAAAGATCAAGTATTGAAGTCTATGCAGAAAGAGAACATTCTGGAACTGTTGTTGAATCATTTATGCTGAGAAAAAGTGAGTGAGAGAATAACAAACAGAATTTCTTATTGCAGCCCTTCTTAAGAAAATACCTTACACTGCTAAATTTCTCATATATGATTAAGTCCATAGCATAGTACAGTGTTAAAGCTTCTAATGTAACTGAACTTAGAAATCACCCTCACCGTGTAATGAGAAAGTAGAACTAAATCTTTTAACTGTTGTCTGAACATAAAGTCCTCCAGACATTGACAGGACAATGTGATTTTGTATAGGACTGTGTGAGCTGATAACCCCTTCTGATTCTGATCGACTTTTGGTTGCAGACCAAACTATCAAATCTGGTAATCATAAGTGGTACTCAGCATATGACCTAGAATATTCTGATATTCTATTCTGAAACACTTCATATTTGAATCCAATTTTGCTATGGAGGGTGTGTGTAACAGTTGTCTGCAACTCTAAACTAGCCAGGATCACATGGCAGCTGTTGAAAGTAATTGTCCAATGCCAGAAAAACTCACGACTGATTTAAAAAGTTATAGAGATGCTACATTTGTATTCATCAACCTCTTTTCCAATGCATTTCCAAATTATAGCAAATCCCTTTTATAAACTTCTTTGAACAATGGTGAACCATAATTGGTGAGCAATATTTTTTTAATTATTTAGTATATGGCAAACATATTAAAAAGCACATTGCAAGGTGTTATGAGCAAACTTAGCACAATATAAGGACATAATGAAAATCCCTTCGAACCTTTTTTTTAAAGAAACAAATATACTTGAGTCAGAATTATTGTATATCATTCTGGTCAGTCTTCTAGTAGCTGCATTTCAGATCTTTTTAAATAATTGTCTTTTCTTTTTCTTTTTAGTTTAATGAATGAGGTAGTTCACACATCTCCTACCATAGGCAGTAATGTTGAAGAAATTGTAGTGAAAAACACACATTTCCTTATGTGGGATATTGGTGGACAAGAGTCACTAAGATCATCCTGGAATACGTATTATTCAAATACAGAGGTAGGTGACTTTTATTATGATTTTTGGCCCTTTATGATGTCAGGGGTCTTTTGGTGCACTGTTTCATAGCCAGTAATTGTTGGGTATGTTGGACTCCAGGTTCGTGACCATGGTCTGGGGCAATGTTCCCCAACCTTTCAGGGTTGGCGGCCTGGCATTGGGGAGAAGTGGGGATGGTTTAGTACAAGGAGCAGGTGGAAGATGCATGCATAGCTTCATTTGCAAACGGGGCTGCAAGCACTGGTGCCAGCAGCCCACATGAGTGGGGCTGTGCACACCAACCCACAACTCCCACAGCCCAGTTACAAATAAGCCTTGTCCTGGTAGTGAGCTGCAGCCCACAGATTGGGGACTGGGATTTAGGGAGCAGATTTCCTGACATTGGTCACATCTTCAGAAACAAGATGATCACAGGCAACTAAGCAACAACTAACTGGGTTCCTATCTTTATAGCTAGTTTGCAATTGGTACAAGTTAATGATGTCTAGTCTCTGGTTGTTTCTTTGCATATGCTCAGTGTTGATTGTTTATGTTGGTGCTGTTGGAGATTTGTTTGAAAAATGATTACAAGAATAAATACTGCATCTCACTTTGAGATAGTTTTTGTTAATAAAAAGAGGGTGGTGCCAAGTTCCATTTTGCCCAATAGTTTAGCAAATAAGAGAGATTTAAGGCCGAATATTCCTGGAAAGACAGTCATAGAAAAAGATTTTGCTTGGAGTATCTGTGTTTTTAAGGCTTTCAGGACATAGGAAGGGATCTTTTCACCTTGCCCATGAGTGGTACCACATGGCTTTGATCTCAGAAAAGCCTGAAGAGGAAAACAAAATTATTTCTAGAGAGTTTCAGTGCCAAATGCTTTGATTGTGCCTGTTCCTGTTGTACCATAAGATTCTCTTGCCATTTGCTTTCAGATAAGAGAAGGAACTTAAGAAAGAGTAGAAACAGAAGCTATGGTGCTCTTGTTTGTGCAACAGACTTATGCAGTTGCACGTACATCAGGAGTTTCATCTGCTGGAATACTGCCTGTTTTACAACATATTCCTTCTGTTTTTTCTTCAACTCTTCCTTTTTTCCACAGTTTATAATCCTTGTAGTTGACAGTATTGATCGCGAGAGGTTGTCCGTCACAAAAGAAGAACTGTACCACATGTTGGCTCATGAGGTATTTCATTTAGCCTTGACTGTATTCCTTATGAATTCCCAGGATTTATACCAGGGAGTTCATAAAAATCCCCAAAGGAGGATTCTTGCTGAGAAAATTCTATGAATGAATTTGATGTCAGCATTAACCTAGTTTGGACAAAAAGAACTTTAACCTCTATTTCTGGAATGTCAACTTCAGTTTGTGTCTTAAGTGCTTAGAAGTGGATGGCATAACCTGCCAACTAATGCAGAACAGAGTTCTGATTTTATTTCCCAGTTATTACAGAAAATTTGTCAAACCTCTGAAACAGCCTTCTGGGAAGAACAAAGTATTTCACTGGCAAATATTAAGAGGTCCAGCAGTGGAAAAGTAATTTCTATTTATGGGGAAGCAAACCTTAATAATGGCTAAAATTTCATGTTTTAAGGTGTTGACTTTTTGTTGTTGTTTGCTAAGTTTATTGTGCAGTACTTCCTAAAAGAATTATCCCTTTCTGACACAGGTGAAATGCATTACCACTTTACATTAAAGCAATTGTCACAATTAAAGTTATAGTAGCATATATCTGATTCATACATACATACATAGATGCATACATACGTACATACATAACATACATACACATATGATTTATATGTGTAGAAATTAGTACCATAGTTATCTGAGTCATCTGAATATTGCAATTTACAGGATTTACAAAAAGCTGCAGTTCTCATTTTTGCAAATAAGCAAGATATGAAAGGTTGTATGACAGCTGCTGAAATTTCCAAGTATCTAACCCTTAGTTCCATAAAGGATCACCCATGGCACATTCAGTCCTGTTGTGCATTAACAGGAGAAGGGTAAGTACTGCGATAAAATATTTTACTTCAGAGACACTTAACAACTTCTATATTTTTTATTCAAATTAAGTAAATATTTCTAAACTACATGATTAATGTTAGCTTTTCAATTAAGGAAATAAGTTGTTAATAGAAAAGAGGGGCATGATTACAGTGACATTATTTTCTTAAAGCTTAAGCTAAATATTTAAGAAAATATGGACATATTCGATTGAGTAATTTTCAAGAAGAGCTTTTAAATAACTCTTACTAAGTCTCTCCCACTTAATCAGATATTTCAGATTAAATATTTTTGGCTATGAGGCAGAATGGAAATTTATATGATATACTAGAGGATAATTTTAACTGTGGGGCCAATGGATAGAAGGCAGTTATATTAAAATGAGCCATAGTAGACTTAACTATTGTTTACTATCTTTAAAAGTTCCACAAGTTCAAGATTTTTCTGTTCAGAAGTATTTGTTAATTGAAGAGACCTGGATTAGAGAATTTTAATGTACTCAGATAATCTTCTGCTTTTTCCTTTAACTAAAACCATTATGTTATTGTGCCTGGGCTTGGCCTAGAACAGACTAGGGTGGCAAAATGCTAAAGTGGTACAAAAGTTATTGCCTGCCTCCCTGCCTCCCTCCCTCCCTCCCTTTTTGAACAATGCATTTTGTTTAGGTTCCTGTCATTTTGTCTTTAAATAACGATCTCTTAGTGGAGACTAATAGTGCTACAATGATTAACAAGCAAATGTTTATTAAGACTTGAGTTTTATTTTTTTCTCCCAGATTGTGCCAAGGGCTAGAATGGATGACTTCCCGAATTGGAATAAGATAATTCCTCTGGATTGGAAATGTGAATTATTCCATGGACTACCCTTTTGTGGTGCACTTGTCTGCTTAGTGTAGCAACAGGTTTGATTTAAAAAGGGAAAAAAAAACTTTTGAAACCTCCACAACAAGCAACACTTGAATCAAGTGCAGCTAATCAAAACTCAGAGTATTTTTTAAACTTTTTAAAAATGCACTAGTGTTGGATGTAAAAAATGTTATCTTACAACATAAGCTGAAGAATTCTGCCCTGTATAACCAAATTCGCAGTTGAAAAGGTTCCTTCTTGCAGCTTAATATCCTGTAGCATTGGTCAGTTTGTTTCTCTATTTGTTTCATGCTACAACATTAAGCTTTAAGACTTCCAGGATTATGGATTTTAAAATCAGTGGATTTCTAGGGGATGGGAATTCCAGTGTCAGTATGCATAATTGGAATTCTCCAACATTGAAAGGATTATTTATTTGCTATCAATGCTGTTGCCTTTTACCATAATATTTTTGCCTGAGATAGTGTACACTTTTTTCTTAAAGCGTATGCTATAAATATTTTATATATTGAAGATTTTGATACAATGATTATAGGAAAAAAAACTTCATGTTATGCAGGAGGACTATTTATACTGCACTGTGTTTTAGCAATGCATATTTAATAGAGAAAACTATTCCAGTATAACTAGAGCTGTATTTATCAAATAATAGTACATGTCATCCCAGATTTTTTGGGATTCTGTGCTATTAGCCAATGAGATTCTTTAATCAGATTCAAGTTATTGATTAACAGAATTAAATTCTTTGAATGGTGTGAATAATGTATCAATAATAAGTTTGAAAAAAATGACTGCTAATTATTCATTTTAAAAAATTAGAAAGCATGGTTGAAATTAATTCTGTTCTGTGCAAATTGGCCCATGACTTTTTCTTATAGAAAGCTGGATTATTAATGTGATTTTCTTCCAGAATTAGAACTTGTACTACATATCAGTATCTTATTTTGTATGGACTATGTGAATGGCTTGTGTTTTCATGTAAATGTCCCACTAACAGTATTATGTAATATTTTTAAAATTGTCTGTTTCTTATGAAGAGGGAGTTCTTGACATGCCGCAATGTTGGTGTTGCCACGTGCAATTTAAACTGGTTGTGGAGGACCTTCCTTGATCTCCTTGCCAAGGTCACAGAGGCAGTTTATGGTTTAAAATTGACTTGTGATACATCTAGAAAAGGGTAAGTTGGAGAAGGCCAGTGTACCTAGGTATCCAGTATAAGCTCCAATAATGCTGTCAGGAAGTGATGCAAATTATATAATTTCTGCCATTTGCATCATGATACTTGTGATTATTATCCCCATCATTTGCAGACACTCATTTTGATGTATCTAAAAACTACAAATGTAAACTTTTCTGTTCAGCATATTCTGTACATGAAAGCCTGAATAGAGAACTCATTTTGACTTAATGCACAAGGAATGTGTGCTATAGTTTAAGGAGGACTGTAGCTTCATGAGGAAACAATAGTTTAGAAGGCACAGTATTTCTTGAAGCCTCATGTTGTATCACAAGAAAATGAGAGGCAACTGTTCAAGACATAGAAATCAACTCTTTCTATGATTTCGTAGATATAATTTCACAGATACATCCAGATAGTTTTCTTGGTAACTCTGCTGAAATGGTATGCCATTAACTTCCTTGTAATCTGAATCGACTTAGTTTTCTGAGATCAGTTAAGTTAATTCTACTATTTCTTGGTGGGTGGTGGGGTTCCATTCCATTCCATTTTGTAAGAGCATTTTTTTAAAAAAGGTTGAAGTTGGTCATTTAGCTTTAAAAGTCACTATTAGAAAAGTCTACTTACTCATTTTCAAGTATTAACTGAAATTATATTTATCTGACACTCTAGTAGTTAGGAAGCAAACAAGAAAACTAGGGTTATTTATTATTCATTATAATTTATTATAGATTTGTCCCAGTAGCATATATGAGGTAAACTCAGTACACACATACATGCACATGTGCATACACTAACATGTGCATGTGTATTCATTTAATAACCAAGTTACTTTTCATTACAATAAGAATTGTTGCTTATCCATAATTTTGCTTATTCCTAGCATTTGTCCCACCACACATTTCTCTGGAGATGATATCTTCAAATCTAATTTCAAAGGAACTTTTAATTGAAATTTAATTATTACTCTTCACTCGTAATTCTCTCCATTCCTTTGATGTTGTCAACCATAAATTGGTCTGCTGTACCTTTTTATAGTCCAAGGTCCATAACTTAAAGGTTCAGATAGAGCTTGAATAGAAACAATAATAATCTATACAGTACCAGTTGATGGATGATTTCTTCCTTGCTGCCAATATTGTTTTTGGATCTTTGGGAAGATGTGTTTCTCATTATCTATTAATTGATTGTTTACAAACTAGAGATGTCTTAAAGTTATTTCCGGGATGTTTTGGGGAACCTCTGTTCTACTAACTCAATGTGATCTCTCATTTCCAAGATACAAGAGAGTTTTAACTATTTCCAATTCAGGGTTCTGGTAATTCTTTGTCCTGCTTGTGTCCTGTGTGAAGGTAAATGATCGTTTGAAAGAAAAGATTCAAGTGAGATAGTATATCACAATAGATCATTTTCATTCTATCTTTGCCTCAATTTATGATTCCCACAGTAACTGCAAAGATAACATTTTTTTCATAGAGGGAAGTAGTATGTTTTTAAACCTTGGCTCTTTTATGGTGTGGAATTTGGAAAAGCTTGCCCATTTTGGCATTATCATTTCATGTGGTCATAAGGTTTTATCACTTTTATATTAAATGGTGGGCATGACATTACACTGTAATTATGTTGAGGTGAATTAAACCACGTGTTATGTAAAACCCTTTGTGCTCCAGTAAAAACTGCTAGCAATGCAATATTGATTGTGGTGGGGCAAGAATGAAAGAGAGGCTGGTCAGTCACTCCTTACTGTGTTTGCACCCACCTTTTGCATGCAAGTATGGTTGGTTCTCTAAATTGTGACCATGGATTTTATTTCTTGAATTTGGATATATGACATTTTGTATTTCTGTAATGAGCAATTGGTTCAGTTACAAAACTCACTGAACTTGTATCGAAATAAACAATTAAAAAATGTGTTTATGTGTTACAGACTACTTTGTTGGTCTTACTTAGGAAAACTGTCCTTTAGCAAATGAGCATCTAGAGAATTTATGTCAGCACTGAGGATTCATAAAATTGACTAATACCACTCTCTTCACCCAACACAGTCATGTGGCAAAAATAATTCTGTACATCACCAACCTTAGTTTGGTAATTTGATTAAGGACATACGTTTAGTTCTTTTGAAATGTTACCCTTCATGTTATATTTCCAATAGCTGTTGGGTTTTTGTGGTTAGCTCTTAATTCCTGTGCTAGCAAGAAAGACTTCCTATTATGTAAATACCAAGTTATAGAAATCTTTCTTGTCCTAGCACATTAGAATTATAAAAAAGTATTGTGGCAACTTTTTTTCTTACAATGAAGTACATAAATAATAAACTAGAAAGAAGAAAGTGTAACAAATCTGAATGAGTACTATGTAGCCTTTCAAATGTATCTGATTATATGCTTCAGGTAAGTTAATCATTTTGAAGACTAAATTGAGGAAGGATAAAAAAAATGCTGTTGAAAGAAGATGATTTGAACATGCATACAAACTTATATTTATATTAATTTTGTAGAAAAATGAAATACATAAACAGATGACATTAAAAATTGCAGAAAAATCAAATCAACTTGTTAAGTAGTCCTCAAATTTTAATGTGTTCCTGATAGGAGTTAGATCAATTTCTAGCCTTATTTAGGAAGGCAAGAAGACTAACTATGGAAGGGATCAGTTTACTCACGCGGGAATTAAGTCATGTGCCTTTTCTAATGAAAAGGAAATTCACAATGTTTCAATTTGTACTTAATGGAAATTGTGAAACTTTGTTTTTAGAATGATCATATTCTGAATGCCATATCTCCCCATAACATATTTAATACTCCTATATATCTAAATCCACATGGATAGTATGTTGTTTTTATGCTCTGTCAACAAGCTCTGTATCAAAATTATATATGGACTGTTCATTTTTATCTGTGAGAGCGCATCTATCTAACCTGTTATTTTGGAGAAAATAAGTGGCAAAAACAGCAGCTATTTTATATATTCGACGGAAACAACTTTCTTTTAGAATCTCCTTATTTATCTCCTGGAGATAAATAAAAACCCCAATTTTACCAATTCTTTTAAATTATAATTTTTTTAAAATATAAACAAACCATGGCAGTTGCCTAGATAACATGTGCTCAGAAGAGAATCTTAAGTCTAAATGTAATGCTCTTGTGCCGGTTCAGGAATTTTTAGCCACTTAATGTTCTGCTAGGAATATTAATAGCCATTCAGCAAGCAACTTCAGATTCTTTCATTATTGATCATGGTTTTTTAAATGGTACCTCACTTTAATAATGTCCAAAGGATCATGTATTTCTCCCCCTTTTCTATAACAAATGATGTAGCTAGTTGCTGTAGTAGTATAGGGATTCTACAGAATATAATCATTCTACCTCTTGCTTTAAGAATGGAGAAAGCTCATAAATTACCAGTTGTGTATCTATGATGCTGCCAAACATGAATTCACCATCCCAACAGAAATGTGCACAGAGGTAGACTATGCTGGAGAACTCCAGGATATATAAAGTTTTCAATCAGATATTTAAAGTTTTTAATTATAGACATTGCAGCAAATATTTGAAGAGCTATTTATCAAAGTGATTGCTGTCATTTTATGTTAATGCACAACTAAATCTGGCTATGGAATGTTGCCATCATTTGGAATGTGTAGACTTTTGAAGGGAGCTTTACTCAACCAAATTGACTTACGGTCAAGGGCAAAATGTGGACAAAACCAAGGTTTTACACTTAGGCAAGAAAAACCAAAGGCAGTCCTGAGGTCCTGACAGCTCAGCTGTAAGGAAGAGGGAATATAGGAGACAGGTTGTGGCAGAGATCAATTTGGATGGCATAGAGAGAGATCACAGAGAACTGGAATAGTTTGGAAAGAAGTTTGAAAACTGCAGAGGGTGAAGGAGATAAGAAAAGACAGATCGGAGCTACAGAGGCAGTGAATAAGCGAGGTGAGAGTGATCAGAGAGAAACAGAGCAACAGTCTGCCTGAGAGAGACACTAAAAACTTAATGAACTGAAAAGGGGCAAAGAAAAGGGAAAGTAAAGATCCAAGAAAAATGCTTCAACTTAAAAGAACAAAAAAATGTGATCGTGTTAAGTGTGGACAATAAGCACTGAACTCCCCTGAGGAAGTAACGAACATAAAAGGAATGGCTGGAGTAAAAGAGACAGCAGACATCCATTGGAAAGAACAATTATTAGTCAGCATTTTGACTTTCATTTGGTGAACTGCTGGATTACTAACACTTTTTTTGCTTGTCTCTATTTTTCTTTTCCTCTTTTTCTGTTTTCTGCTGATCACAAAACTAAGAGATTTAATCAGGTGATTTAATGAAGTGTTTATATTCATAGAAATAGATAGGAGAGTGCTTTTCTATTCTTCTTTCTTTCCTTTTTCTTACAAGTTATCCCAGAGAAATTAAGAGTAGATAAACTGAGTAAGATTTTATTATACTGGTATATAAGCTTCTATATTAATTTGGATTGTATTTATTTAATTGTAATTAATTGTAGCCAATATAGCAAATATATCAACATTTAGGAGATTGTATCTCTATCCAGTAGAACTTTAATTAATTAAAGAACTATTGATACATAATAGCATAAATATTTGAACAAAAAAATTAATTGTTTACTTAAATTAATTTGTTTACTTAATCAAAAAGGGGTGGTGGTCCTATAGTGATTTATTAGATTTATTGTTGATATATATAGTTGATATATTATTTAGTATATTTTTATATATCCATATACTGACTCATTTAGATAATTTTATATATTTATAGAGATAAGATAAATTGTGTATTTAAGATATTAATAGATATAATATGTTTACAGGAGACACATTCAAAAACTGGATGAAAAATATTTAGAATATCCCAAATTAGGGAAATTATTTATGGCCCCAGCAGATAAAAGAAAGGACTAGCTGTATATATTAAAGAGGAGATAAAAGCTAAATTAATGTTCACAGATCCCAATGGAAGAATTTTAATGATAGAAGTATGGATAGTTCTCAAAAAATTATTATTAGTAGTAATCTATGCACCTAATGAAAATCAAGAATTTTACAAAATGTTACACAATAAAATTATTGAACTAGAACAAAGAAATATCTGTATCATAGAAGACTACAATGCAATAGCAGACCATCAAAAGGATTATAAAGGTGAAAAGAAGAAAGAAAAAAGGAGAATTACCAAAAGCATGTTTTGAAATGTTTACAGAACTTAATTTGATAGATGTTTGGAGAAGAGAAAACCAAGAAAAAAAACGCTTTTTATTCCAACCCACACAAATCATGGTCACACATTGATATCGCCTGGATAGGAGGAGAAATAGGAGAGGAAGTGGAAGATATCAAAATTTTACCAAATTGCCAGGCTGACCATAACCCAGTTAAAATAAGTTGGCGAGGTAGAAAGAAAACAAGGTGTAGGTGGACTCTAAACACACAAATATTAAAAGAGAATGAATTTGTTCAGAAATTGAGAGAACTAACATTTTTTTAAAGAAAATAATAGACAACACATGTCGATACAGAACCTATGAGATACCATGAAAGCAGTTACTTGGGGGGTCATAATATCATATACAGCAAAAAGAAACAAAGAAAAATTTGCTCAACAAAATAACTTGCAGGAAACAGTCAAGAAACTAGAAACTAAATTACAAAATGCTCCACAAAATACTAAATTAAAAGAACAATTGATGTTAACTAAACACAAACTTAACCTAGTAGACCATGAAGAAATGGTTAAAAATCTTAAAATAGCTAGACAAACATTTTTTGAACAAGCTAACAAACCAGAAAGGTGACTCTCGCATAAACTTAAGAAAGAGAAAAAAAGAATTATCCACCAACTACAAGATGAAAATGGAGAATATCAGCATACAATAGAAAGAAAGAAAAAGATTGTACATCAGTATTTCAAGAATTTGTATAAGAGAGAGGAGATAGATGAAGAACACATAATGAAATATTTGAGAGAGGAATAAGGTCCATTGATAGCAGAAGATCTGAAGGGAAATTTAACTAAAGAGATAACGATAATAGAATTAAATCAAGCAATTAGAAACCAGAAAAACAATAAAACACCAGGATCAGGTGGTCTCCCAGGGGAATTCTATAGAACGATGGAAGATGTATTAACACCGTTGATGCTAGACCTTTATAATGATGTTATGATAGATGCTAAGATGCCGGATACATGGAGGGATGCGCTCATCTCACTAATCCTGAAGGAGGGCACGGATACAAGACAAATCCAAAATTATAGACCAATATCGTTATTAAACTCCAACTATAAAATATTTACAACCATCACAGCGAATAGACTGAAGAGACTTTTGAATGAATATATACACATAGACCATAATAGATTTCTACTAGGCAGACAAATTAGGAACAATTTGAGGACAGTAATAGATATTTTAGAATATTATGAAGAGAAACAAGTATCACTTGTCTTTTTAGATGCTCAGAAAGCATTCGATAATTTGAATTGGCAATTCATGATACAGCAAGTTTATAACATGAATTTAGGAACTAATTTTGAGCACATAATAACATTATACTCCAATCAGAAGGCAAATATTATAGTGAATGGTGAAGCTACCCAGAGCTTAGAAATAAGAAAAGGAATTAGACAAGGCTGCTCACACTCTCCTCTGCTTTTTATATTATCACTTGAGACCCTCCTTAGATGAATTAGGCAAAATTCGGAAATAAAAGGAATAAAAGTCAAGAAAGAAGAAAACAAATTACAAGCTTTCACGGATGATATGGTCTTTGTTATTGAAGATCCAATAGAAACAGGAAAGGAGCTAATTAATGAATTAGAAAGATATGGGGAAATAGCAGGTCTGAAAATTAATAGACAGAAAATGAAACTCTTGTCTAAAAACT